CACCAACTGCTTCAGTGACTCCATCTAAGCCACCTCATTCTCTGCTACCTCATTCTCTACTTTCCCTTAGGAAGACTAAATATCTCCTCTGTGTGGGCATTAAAATGTCTGGTTCAGAGTGATACATAGGATCACTCCAGGCAGGCTTGGCTACAGGTTTGAGGGCACCTTAAAAAAGCAGCTTCTGAGAGGTCCTCTTTTAGATCAATGGGATGGGTGTACCCAGGATGTGTGTGACATATGCTAATGCGTAGGCATAGAGTTAGGGTTCTGGACCATCTTTTTCCCAGCTGGACTAACTTCATACTTTCCGGGAACATTCAACTGGCATTTTGAGTTGGTACAATCCACTTGACTGCTTTCAGACTCTACCGCTTTGTTCTGTTGCATGCAAAGATTTGACCTGAGGCATTTCTATGGTGTTAGACTTTGGGGAATGATTTCTGCTTTTCCTTTAGTTCAGAGGTGTGTCAGTCATTAAGTGTACTAAGATGACATTTCAAAATTATTTTCAGTGTCTTCTATTAAGATGGTTTTACATGAATGAGTTTATGACTGTCAGTCATGTTAGGACCATTGGATGGAAAAGCAAGATAGCTGTGTGTGTGTGTGTGTGTGTGTGCACGCACGTGCAATATAGGAGGATGGGTGGGGAACCCTAAGAAAAGATTTGCTGCCAACAATTCTTCCCATAGTTCTTAGTTGCCGAGATTGATAGTGAATTGACAATGGATATTGTCTAAGGCATCTGGTGTAAGCTGGGCAAATACCCAAAGAAATATACACATGAGATGCATGATATATCCCTTCTATACCTACACATTTTTCCTGGCTGTCAACAGGTCACACATACCTTATCAGGAGGCACAACTCTCCCAGTTTACACCAGGAATCCTTCCCATAGTGCTGAACACGTACATGCAACTCTTCCCACCATGACACAGATGACATAAGCTCCCCAGGTGCTTGAGCAGGTTCTGCATCGCTAGTTTGCAGGATTGCAGCTTAACCATGCAACCATGTCATGTCTACTCAGAAGTTAGTCCCACTGAGCTTTCTTTCAGGTACGAGGAGATGTTGATATTTGGAGAGAGAGCTATGGTGGCTTCTTTTCTCCATGCCCCTGTGTGATTTCCCTAATTGCCATTGTGACATGCAGTTTCCCATGTTCTCCAAACTCAGCGAGGGATGTTCTTCATGGCTTTTTGTAGGGTTCTGGGGTGACTTTGAAGCCACCCTCTGCCTCTACCTCACTGGCTTCAGATAACATAGGAAGACACAAGCTGTAAGAGTAATTACAATAATCTGTGCTGTGTGAGTGACATCTGGGGGTCTGCTTCCTTCGCCCTGTGATTTTCCCAGCTCAGCCATTGTCTGCCTTCCCTTCTGGCATGGGGAAAGGGATGAGTTTTTCCAAGCACAATACATTGTTCCTTATTGTAAGGTGTCTTCCATAGGAAAGCCTCATTCTCTTTAAAACCCCCCTGCTCCTGATGGAGATTAAAACTGCTGGAATGGGTTTTGTCCCTAGGGATCAACCCAGTTATCTGCTCTTTTGACCTCTCCCTAGGATTGTGCCTATCAGGGCAGTGGTAGGTACCAAAAAGATTCTGAGGACAGCAACACCTATCTGCACATGCCAAGTTGCACATGCTCTAAAGCCTCTCTCTCTCTCTCTCTCTCTCTCTCTCTCTCATTCTCTCTCTCTCACTCTCACTCTCACTCTCTCTCTCACTCTCGCTGTCTTTAAAGGGCACCATCTCTTTAGAAGACCCTGATTTGTAAGAATGGGTGTCAGGGCATTGGAGAGGAAGCATTTGCTTTCAGAAAAAGAGTGCACACAGAAAGATTCAGCAGGAGGAGCAGCGAGTGGTCAAGCACATGCGGGCAATCAGAACTGCAGAGCTCATCCAGGTCCCCATCCCATTCTTTCAGCAAGTGCCCACCAACAGCAGGGTGGTGGGGCAGATGGCTTCCTACAGATTTGGAACTCTAAAGGAAGGATTTGGGGTGCTGGCTCAATAGACTGCTCCCTACCACTGTCTTTGTTGGCTCTGGGGATGGCCATGAGTGGCCTTCAAAATTTACCATCACACCACTGGGGTTGAGAGCTTTTCAGCTAGGCTTGAGCAAGCTAAATGTGACCAACCATCTAGGCATGTCAGCTTATCTGGTTTGAACAGTCTTTTTTTGTGGAAAGGCAGTGTACAAATCAGAGAAATAAAGAAACCAACAAGCCTGGTTGGGCTATAAAGCAAGGGGATGACATTCAGCTTGATGGGTCAAAGCTGTGGGGCAGATACACCACAAGGATGTGGATTTTAATGCTATCTCTGTACACGGGAGCTTAAATATTAACTACTTTCTATGTTTAGCCTTCCCCAACCTGGTGTTCTCCAGAGATTTTGTTGCTAACTCTCAAAGTCCCAAAGCACTGGTCATTCTGGCTGGGGCTGGTGAGAGCTGAAGGGCATTCAGTCAGGGAAAACCATTCTCCTTCTGGCTTTATCAAGTCAGATCCTTTAGGATGCAATTCTGTTCATGCATACTTGAGAGTAATGTGCTTCTCAGATTTCATTGTTAGCTCATATTGCCTACTCTCCTCAACAGCAGCAAGGTAGCTGAAGATGACTCATCTTGGGACCATCTGCCTGAAAAAACAATTGGCATATCTCACTGGGAGTTTGTAATGACATAACCTGCATTTTTGGAAGAAAAGTCTTCATGCATTTCAGCGGAAAACATTTCCTGCATCAATGTTTTCCACTTCTCCTTGAAGATTCTTTTTAAAGTTCCCAACATTTTATTTAACAATGAAGTTGTCATAAAAACAATTTTAAAATGATCAGAATGGCCATATCAATATTTATTGAAATACTGGAAATAAAAATCCATCGGTGTGGGGAGAAAATTCCTGGCAAGAACTGACATGAGACAACATGAACTTCACAGATACAGTTAAGAGAACTTTAACAGGTAACTGCACATTCTAAAAGAGTTGCATGGATTTAAACGCCAGGCAGCTGCAGAACGTATTTGTAATACAAATAGCCAGACACTACAGATCGTCTGGTGACAAACACTGAACAACTATAAGAAACCAGCCAAAGCCGAAACCTTTGTATTTTCGCCTGCTTTTACTAACATGTAATCAATAAAGCAATTGTAAATAAATGCCTCCTTACAAAGTGGTTAATAATTAACATTGGTTTTGGAAACTTGGGCAATCAGAGGGATTCTTGGAACCCCTGACATTGGCTAATGTATGTTCTAGTTTATTTGAAAATGTTTCCAGTAATGGTCTTTGCTTACAGGTAATTGTGCTTTGCAATTTATTGTTTCTAAATTTTAGGTGAATTTTTCCATGGCATTTCAATGAACAAATCAGAGGGTTTATGAAATCTGGACATGTGACAGGGTAAAAATCCTCAACAGCCTTGTGTATGTGTGAATTAAATAGCATCAATAATGTCCCGATTTCCATTTTTTTTAAAGAGTGATGTTCCTGTTTGCCTGAAAAATTGTTGTCAAGGTGTCCTAGGGTAGAACCAATAGTGAGTGTGATATAATACAAACATCTAAGACTTGCACATACTGGGAATAGTTAAATTTGTTATCCCCATGGGCCCACCAGGACTGTTTACACAAATGTTAGAATCCAGGGTGTATTCTTCCGATGGAAGGTCTCCAGACTACTTATAAAAAGTGGCCTTCCCAAGCAGTAGTTCTCAACATGCTACTACAAATGCTGCCTCACCTGCTGTTAAATTTAGCATTGTTAGAGCGATGAAGACAGGGTTGGTCCTATCATTAGATAAGGGTGAGGCAGTAAATTTTGGGGTACCATTAAATGCCATCAAATGGCCATTTATGTTTTTCTTATGGACTAGGATTTTAAAAGGTGCTGTATCCAAGGAATGGGGTGTGCTAGTGAACATGTTGAATAGACCCTCAAGCACCTCTTGGAATGCCTTGCCTTTTTAAATGAGGTGTGCCACGCAGGTTAGTAGAGCTGGCCATTATATTTCCACCTGAACAGAAGTTGCCCTTTAGAGTTTCTGCTGCGGGGTATGTTCCCATGAGGATCCCAAGAGTGGCTAGGGTGAGATGCCCATTGCTAACTGTGCCACAGAGCACCAGGTTTATTGAAGCAGGACCTATTTGGCCAGGGAAATATCACTTTGTCAGAGCAAAGTTTTCCCATTTTCTATCCCTCCCCTGTGCTGCCCTGATCCACATGTAAAAATAATATTAGTCAATTGAACATGGTGATAAAATATTCTGTTTTGTACTAATACAAAAGAAATAAATGCTGTCTTTGGTATATAATGTCCACTGCTTAAAAAAAATATTCTGGAAAGGATGCGCCTCTCTAAGTTTGCATGAAACAAAGGAAGGAGCAAATCACAAATTTTACATTAGATTTTAAAGAAACTACAATTAGGATTATGAAGATCTTACAGACATTTAATCAAGCAAATGATCTTAAATGGTGAAGACCCTTGTATGTCCCTGAACTATGAACTATAACTTGAAGACATGCTGTAATAAACACATATATTTGGCTTCTTTATTCTGGCTATATTTTTATATAAAGATGAAACCAAGGAACAATAAATTAGCATCATAATTGTCTACAATGAAAACTGTGATACACAATATAAATAAACTATTTAAAAGCCAGCAATCTTCATGAAAACAAACAAACAAAGCTAAGAGAGCAGAAGTTTTATACAGTTTCTACAAGTGATTGTGCAGCCAATAATCTAAAAATAAAAATAAAACAATTAAAAGTATAAATGAGATTCCCTTTTTGATTTTAGTGTCTCACGACATACAGTAATTAAGTACTGGTAAAACTAGTTACCAATCAGAAAGCAACATTAAGGAAATCACGGCTTTGCAACATCATCACAGTTTCCCTCCCCACCCCACCCCAGGACCTAACAAATGTAAACACGATAATCTTTTTTGTTTTTATTTTCAAATATGTAAGGTATTAATACTTTCCTGTTCTAAACTTATGTTGATCCACTTCTGTACATTTACCATTCAGGATTCTGAGATAAGGCAAAGCTTCACGTGCAGCTTCATCACTGTGGCCCTGCTTTTTATAATACTGATATCTTCATTTTGTATAGAGAAATCATCACATCCCCTTCAGTATTGGTTCTGCAGTGGACTTTGGTCTACACAGACATGGCAGTATCACTCTTCTGTCCTCACGTTAAACATTTTTGCTTAAAAATTGGTTTCACATGTGTTGTCTGATGTCAAAGCTGTACTGTACAAAGCTGGCCTAATCTTTGAACTACCAATAATATTAACCCACTGCTTGTTTCAACAGCGTATACACTTGAAGTATCTTTTTCCTTGCATAGGTAGAAACATGTTTTTGCTGTTGGCTTTTTATTACCCACAATTTGATCCAGAGGCTAGTTCGGGCTGAAGTACTTGGATTTTCTCTGCTGGAGTAAAGAATCCTCTAATGAGAGGTGAACGCTACATCAATGCAAGAGAATGTGCGATTCCATAATGCATTGTGGTTTCCCTTTGCTCAGGTGTAGTCCCTGGGAGATGGTCATTGAAGGATGACAACATTTGAGAAATATTGTCCCAGGCCAAACCAGGGATAGGTCAAGAGGTAGGCCTCCGGAAGGATTTAGCAGTGTGTTCCCGCTAGTGCTATTGACATTGTGTTATTGGAAACCAGTGTTCATGCAACATTGCGTGTTGTGTTGTGTTGTGTTGTGATGATTTTCCTGGGAAATCTGTTGCACTAGCAAGCGCTACTGATATCGCACAAGCATTGGTTCCTAGCACAATAGTGCAAATAGCACATACCACTGCATCCTTCTGAGGGGGAACAACTGGCAGGTTGCTACAAAGTGAGCAAGTCAACTGCCCTAGGATTAGAGTGCAGTTATAAACAGGAGGGAAGGCAGTAGAGCTGGGTAAAATCTGGGCAGAGTTAAACAGATCACCAGTGGAGCATGGCAAGAATGGGATTTTTGGTCAGACCAGTTCTGAAGCCATAAGGTCCTGAGGCCTTGACAGAACTCACTGGCATTGGCTCCTACCCAGGGCCTACAAGCTGCCATTTTAAATTTCCCACTGTGCCCCTGAGCTGTTGTCACTGCAGGATATAGGATAAAATTTAAAATGGTGGCTTCTTTCCTTCCAGGAAAGCCCATAGCTCCTGCCCACTGAAATAGAAGAGGTCCACTTTTCAGACCTTGATACTAGTTACCTGCTAGGATCTGATTTGATTGGTTAGAGGAATAAACCAATGGTCAACTGGCAATTCTAAAGCAGGTGTGCACAACCTGCAACCCACCAAACCAAACACAGCCCACCAACCATGTCAGATATTTGGCAAGCCCTTTTCTGTTCTTTGCAGTCCCAGGCAAGCAGCAAAAGATAGGTTATTATTGGGTTATTAGTGCAATCCATGTGTGCTGGGCTGCATTTGACTTGGTGGCTCGTAAGGTCTACAAACTTCCTTTTGAACTACCTGAACAGCTGGCTCAGAAATGAACTCCCATGGCTAGACCTGTCCAGTCCTATATGCCAGTGAAATACTCATGGGATGTGGAAGAGGTCACAAGCAAGATTAACCGCAGGGTATGGTTAGAAGTTACGGAGATAAACGACCTTCTTAAATCCAAGTAATTCAGTTCAATTCAAATCAGATGTGATGGGATCAAGACATGCCACCGTTTGAATTCTCTTAAGAAATACTGTTTTATTTTAGAGGACGGTCAAGACACTGAGTAGTATCCATAAGCTTATTTGGCACTAAAAGCTTTGAGAAGCCATTCCAGTGATGCCTGCGCGAGTCCACTGGAGATATGGTCCAACGACGGTGGCTTATGGAGCAGCTTCCTTCCAACACTTGTAGTCATTCCTCCTTCTGCTTGTGGAAGAGGAATACTGCCTGGCTGATGGTATGAATACAATGACAAAAACAAACTTTGGAAACATATTAATAATGTCACACTAACTTCATCAACACAACCCCCCTTCCCGTATCAACTATTTGTAGGCCTGAGTCACAGACAGTCCAAAAACCAGGCTTGATTTCTGCAGATATTTGTTGGTTGGCTTGTTTTGGTGCTGCTGCAGTGTGTATGCATGTATACTGTGAAAGCGGCCTACGCCCGATCTTTAATACGGATTGGTGCCCCACATCTTTTTCACGGAGAAATATGAATTCAGTCTGTGGAAAGATGCCTGCAGTTTGGCATGCTTTAGAGATGCTTTCAGTTCTGCTAACCAATGAAGGGGTTTAGTGCATACAGATCCCCTTGACCTGCTAGCTGAATAATACAGATAAAATGTGCTCCTAATTTCTCCACAGTGGCAACTGGCAAAGTTTAACTTACAAGAATTGTTCCTTCCTTTGTTTAGTTTTGTGACATTGGCAATGGTATCCACATCCATTTGTAATCTCTTTTCATTCCAGTGATAAAGTCCTATACAAGTTCCTTTGGGGAGACTGTGCAGTGTTTGATTCACAGTTTGCAATACAAATACCCTGATACATCACTTATTTTCTATTAAGTATTTGATTATTATACCATTTTACATTTTACTTTTGAAAAGTTCCTTTAAACCAAGTTCTTTTAATTAGTGTTGCTTGGAGCAGTTCAGAGTATTTTTTTCTTTTCTTTTTCAAAAGCGGAAGCTGTGTAAAGGATATAATTTATGCTCTCTTTGCATGCAGCATTTCAATGAGGAGGTTATTGCATGGCACGTCCCCATTCAGGTGTTTGTAGTAGAGGTATTCTTCAGCCTGCATACTGATTGCCCGGATTTCTGGGAGTCGCAGGAGAAGCTGCCCAAATTTGTCTGTCTGCTGTGGATAGTTGCACATGGTATAGTCCAGCAAAGCTGTGTTCACTTGCTCTTGAACACCTTCTACCAGCTGGAAGTTCTCTAGGTTTTTGACATCTGAGTAAGCAAAAGAAATGACATAATCATAATTTATTTTTTAATCGAACAGATGCCCTCTAATTCTTGTTTACTAAAATGCAGTTTCACTTAATGACTACGTTTTCCTCTTGACAAAGGAATACTTTACAAGCTGCTGAATATTCAGTTATATCCCTTTGCCAAGTTTCTTGGGAAAATGATCACAGCCTAGCGTTAGTGGAGTGTCTTGTTGAAATTCCGCATATACCTCAGATCAATTAGACACCAATGGATTTTGAACAAGGTCAGCTCTTTCCCCCCCACATATCTTATGGAGGAAAAGGTTGAAGATTCTTAACATACAGAACTGTGATATATTGCCAGCAAATGAGTCCCTGGAGGAAGGCGTAGCTTTAACCCGACACATTACACAATTCATATAATTCTGTATTAATTTTTCTGACCCAAGGTGAAATCTCTGTCCAGAGCAGGCTGTAGTTAATTCTAATGTAAAATGACAGGGTTCTTGTTTCTTTTTGACATTTACTAAATTATTCTGAAAGCCTTTGACTTGTCTACCCTTATGCTAATGAATCATCTGGTACACTCCAGTGACTGCCAAAATAACCTGCTTGACCCGAATTGCTCAAAAATATATTTTTCAATTACTAAGGTTTTTCTCCCCCCACCATCCTATTTGAACTGAAGCCATTGTCCTTTCAACAGATTGACAAGCATATTTTATGGTGTTTGAATGTTGGTATATTACTTTTTCTCACTATTGGATGGTTTTGACCGTCTCTGGTTTCCTGAAGTAAAGATAATTCGCAAATAATTCTAAATATACTGCACTTATTCAGCCATTTCAATGTCCCCACTGAATCCTGAAGCAAAAGTGACTGCTGAAATACCTCCTTCTGGATCAAGTTACTGCTCTAGTAGTTTGCTTGTTATCCTAGGACAGTGATGGCGAACCTTTTAGAGACTGAGTGCCCAAATTGCAACCCACTTATTTATCGCAAAGTGCCAACACTGCAATAAAACCTGAATACTGAAGTTTCAGTTTAGAAAAAACCACTCACAGCCAGTCCAAGCAAATATATATATATATATATATATATATATATATATATATATCCTTGACAGCACACTGACTGGCCATGTGAAAGCTCAGATGAGTTGCAGCTAATGAGTCGCGGCTTGTGATGTCATTGCCTGGCATCGCTACTCCTTTCCGAGCATGCGCATGGCCCCTATGTGCACTGTTATCTGATGCTCGGCTGCTGGGGTGATGCTGGGGTGACTTGGCTCACGTGCCGACAGAGAGGGCTCTGCGTGTCTGCTGCAGCACACGTGCCATAGGTTCGCCACCACTGTCCTAGGATGTTCTGGAGCAGGTAACTCCCTTAAGGACAATTCAAGGTTCCCGATGTCTGATCAAAGAAGGACTAAGGGGGAAATACTAGCCTAAAAAGCTTTATTCCATGCTGAGCACAGCCAAGAACATGTGGCCAATTTTACATTGGTGGATTCTCTTCCACACTTTCCATTTGCGGTACAGGATTGGAGGCAGAAGTTCAGGGTCCCATTCAGCAGAATGAGCAGATGGGTCCTGAAAGATGGCAGTGATGGCCTCCCACATTTTGAATTAAATGAAGTAACACATTTAAAGACCCCACCCAGTAAGACCATGAAGTCCAGAATTTAAAGCAAGTGCATTGTTGCTTTCAGTGCCTAACTCTCGTACTTTCTTTTGCCTTTCAGTGCTGCCTCCTATTCTGCATTTGGTGCTGAAAACCATCACACTGTAAGGAAAAACACTCTTGTTACTTGGGCAGGACTTGGGGTGGGTTCCATCACACCCAATCTGAAGATTATGGATATGGATTTTATGGACTCCGTAAAATGTTCACAAACTCTCCAGCTGAAAAGATTTTCACAGCGCTGCAAAGCTAACCTGATGCTGCATCGAATGATGCATGTCTAACTTTGGAATAGTTTTTTAAGAGCACTGAAAGTCTGCAGCTGGTCAGTGTGGACAAGTGCCTGGCACTTGTGGCATGGAGGGTTTAAAATACTGACAACAGACAAACTTTACCCTGCATTCCCAAATATTTTTCTCATTTGCAATATCCATGTGAAATATGTCCATTTGCAATATCATATAAAATACCCATGATGTTGTGCTATTTGCTCATGTCTCTTTTTAACTGCAGTGAACATTCGTGTATTCATAAGTGAACCCCTCTCATAGCTAATTCCACCTGCCCAACTTGTGTTTTTGTACAGACTAGAATCCTTAGCAGAAATTGAAAGGTGATGTGTGAAAAGAAGGGATATATTTTTGAAAAGAATTAAGGTCTGCTCTGGAGGTGTTTGGTCCTGATGGATTATCCTTTCATAACATATTGGGTGTCTTTGAGATCATGCTATGAGACTTGAAGCAAATCCTGTTAGTTTTACAACTTTTTCTTGGAAGAAAAACTAAAAAAGGGCCGGCAGCCCAGGAGAGGTGTTTATAGCAGATCAAATGCATGATGGCGAGTCGGCTGCTGATGACCAACACTCTCAATTCATATAGGAATTTATTCAAAATATTGTCATGAAAATGTATAGCTTTCTAATCAAAAGTCTTCATAACAGTCTGGTCTATAAAAGCAAGGTGGCAGGAGATAGTTTCTGAAAGGAAAATATTAAATAAATTATGCTTCTTAAAACACTTCTTGTGTCTCTTACCCAGACTTTAAGATTAGAGCAAAAAAATCAACATAAAGTATGACTTGTTAGATGTTGCTTTTTGGATAATGACGTCTGTAGTAGGTTATGCATTAAAATGGATATTAAGTGGTCACTTTGATCTCCTTTATATTGCAAGAGGGAAAGGGAAGGCACAAACAAAACTTCTGTTCTTGATGCTTCGAAATATGTTTTAGTTGCACCTACAGCAGTGAAGCCTTTGATTTATTTATAGAAAATTACTTACCTTCTGGGGGGAAAAGTATCTATGAAAAACTAATGACAAATGTTGGGGAAATACAAATGCATTGCCAGCAGAACGCTATTGATGTCAGCAATGCCATGAAATAAAATCTGTAACTTTAACAAGACAATCTTTGGAGCTTAAAGCACTTCTGTTCTTTTCTAGGATTCAGGTGCTTTATACATCTGAGTGCAAAAGTGAGAGTCCCTCTGCTTAAGCATAATCTAAGAAATCAGCATTTCCAAGTTCTGCAACACTTGTACAATTAAAAAGGGTGGAAATGGCCTCCTTCTTTCTGTACCCCCTTTCACTTCTAACTACAAGGAAAAAAACATTTTGTGTTGCCTCAGTAAGTATCAATCTCTTATCTTTTCCACTTTATTCACTCAGGGACTAATTACCAACTTTTTATATGAAACAGTCTTACTCTGTGCTCACAGTGGGGCGCATCTCTTTTCCCATCCTTATTGGAGAGTAAACCCTGAGGTCTTCTAGAATATATTATAATTTTTTTACAAGCTCTTGCAATAGCATTTTTGCCAGACACAGAATTTGTCTTCTCTACAGCTTACTTCTGAAGATAAAGACTACTGCTGTTGTTTTTACAGAGGTGCCAGTATTAGTTCTGCAGTCACTCTAAAGGCCTGTTGGCATTTTCTCATAACCCTAATTTTCAACGGTTTATCCCTCCTTCACAAAATGGAAATTTTAGCTCAATCTTTGCATACAAAATTCATCTTGAAGAGAGAACATCCACATATTTTTAAAAAATGGGTCTAGCCTTTAGAGGGGAAGAAATATAAAAATATTTAGGTTTCACAGAGACTTCCCCCCTTCTCGTATTTGAGACATGAAAAACTGGAATTTGGTGTACGATTAATCTATAGAGAGTGCATACTGGCTTGGGAATTGTAAAGAGGAAAATGAAAGAGAATGAGAGATTTAACTTTGAAAAGCGGTTACTGTGCAAGGAGCTGTGTAAGTACTTTTCAAAGAAAGTTAATTTATTTTCAGTGAGCAACATGGATGTTTGACTGGCTGCATTCACCAAACACATGGCCCTCAAAGCTGTTTGACCTAATCTCTATTCTACCTTTGCAAATGGACCCAGCTCTGCAAAGGTGGAAAAAACCTTTGGACACATCCTTCTGAGTAAAGCCGACCCCATTCATGCCCTGGTGCACCCTATAGCTCCTTAAGAAAAGGATCATTTCACCTCGGAAGGAAGAGGGCTGCCCCTCAGCTGTGGGAAAAGGGCTGTCACAGAACTCTGACCCTCTGCCTACTGATTGTCCCTAGTTTCAAACTCTGTGGACACCAAAGTGATGGTCTGCTTAGGGCAGTCTTTCCCTAGTGACTGAAGATATGGCTGCAATTAAGTAAAATTAATGAAAGCACAACCCTTCCAAAAAACTCCTGTAACAAGAGAATCCTTTGTAAGTCTAGAAAGACCCTAATGACTAGTTACCATGTGTCTCTGTATGACCCCATATTCCCTTTTCCTTTAGACTGACAAAAGTTGAGCATCTCCCAGCATTCTGCGTCCAACCTGGCTAGCTTGGAATGCTGAGAACTGTAGGACTTTTTCTGCTTAAATATCTGCCCCAATGCATTAGAAAAACAAAATGACCCATTCCTAGAAACTCCTTAGTAAGCATGCCAAGTTTCAGGTCTCTGGGTTTCATGGTCATGGCACTATGACATGGATGGATACACAGACACAGGGAGATCTTTTTAATTGTGATAGAATAGCATGTTTTTAGACAATGAAATGGTAGTGACCTGTAATGAATGGGCCTTTTGCAAGGCTAACATAGAGGATATCCATACAAGTGGAGAGCCAACCAATGATATAAGAAGGCACAACACTGTTTGGGCTTACCGGTGTTGTTGTGATGGTCATATATGCATTGATCAAATGAAGAAATGCATCACCAAAAGGGTGGACAAAAGGGATACAGTCCTGCACAAACTTTGCATATCTTAATGTATATGCATGGCTGCATATTTAGAAACAATATCGTTTAAATACATTGCACAACAGTATGGAAGAGTGAGG